AAAGTGCCTATCACAGAACAAAGCAATATTAAGTAAACAATACATACAATTTGCCCATTTAATTACACGAGAGTGTCCTCAAACTATTCAAAGGACACAAACCATAAGTTCTTACACCCTAGAGCCAGAGTACCCCTGTACACAGACACTCCCAATTAATATCATAAACTAATCTAAAAGAGTTAATTTTATTAGACCTCATCAATATGGAAGCTATGACCTCTTTAGGGGGCCAGGCAGGGGTCACATTTTTCCTAGCATCTAGTGAAGTGCCTAGAAGTGAGTAGAAGCTCAAAGCACAGGGTTGTAAACATGGACGAAAACATATGCATGGCCTGTAATAAGTACTGAATAAGCACCAGGCATTGTGGTTACTATGATTTCTGTGCCTTTTGAGTCATGGAAGGACGTGAGAGAGGAGAAGAAAAAAATGAGGGAGGGAGGGAGGAAAATTGAATAAGAGAAAGCCATTACGGACTGGAAAGGGGTATTGTTATTGATGAGAATTCTTTGATCGTGTTTCTTAGCAAGAGAGTGCAAGATAAAAAAAAAAATAACTGCCCAGAGATAAGAGAACAAGAACTCAGCCCTACAATGAGGGGGGCAGGGAAGTGCACAGGCGGGATTGCAAGGGGCAGAAGGAGAGTGCAAGAAGAAAGGACGGGATTGTGTGGGACAAAAGAGGAACACTGTCCCAGCCTCCTTCTAGCCCGGGACTAGAGGCTACAGTGGACTAAAAGCTGTCCTGCGCAAGGGCCAAACCCCAACTTCATAAAATGGCCCAAATGCTCCAGTACCAGTGGGCCATGGGCTCCTTCAATCGAGTGACTGTGGCTGCTTGTCTCCATGGTAACAGCTCACATCCCAAACTGTTCCTTCCTGTTCCTTCCTGTGGGGGAAGGCAGAGTTTAACAGTGGTTTTTCTCTTATGACCCTTCTCCTCTGGCAAATCGTGTCCCTTTGCGGAGCATTTCAGTCTCCTGAGGGAAGTAGTGTCCAGAGAAGAGGATGTTTCTGTGACTTTATTTGCAGATGCAGGCCCAGGTCACATTTTTTAAAGTAGAAGCCTGAGTTACTTTTCCTTTAGTTTCTCGCTGCGCTTGGTGTTTCTCAGGGCTTTTCACCGTTCTTTTCATGATTATCTCCCCAAAACGGAGAGTCAGCATGTTGTCCTTGGGTTGAAAGAGAGAGGTCAGGGAGATTGGGTTGCTTTCTCAGAGCTACAGAGCACGCAGTAGCAGAGTTAGGCTAGAAAGCCAGACACAATAGGCTGGATGTCCTGCAGCCTCCCGTCACAAATGCCCTGCCCTCCTGCCCTCCAGCATATACACCATCCTTGTCAGCTGACTGACATGTCTTTGCCCAGTCCTAGACTCTGCCTCCAGTCCAGACCCAGGGCCCATGCAATGCCCTGAGGTTTTCTCCAGCAAGGTAAGGGTCTAGAGCAAATACAAGCTCTAAACCTGGACTTTTGATTCCAGCGTGAGCTCAGTGCTCTGCCTAGGGTTAGAACAGCATTTTACAGAATGATAAATGATGGTTCTTCGGCTGAGCCCTGGAAGCGCACTTCTAAACATAAGCCCTCTGATCACAGCTCTGAACACACCGTGGAGTCCACTTTCCTACCAGGACTAGGAGCCAAGAGCACTCATTCCTTGGCCCAACTTCAGCCCTTCCTGGTAGTTTAGATCCCGTGATTGTGTCCACTAAAGAAATCTTTTTCTCTGCAGCATCCCTGCCTGCTCTGACGTACAAAGGTGTAATTAGAACAGCATGGAGCAAGTGGTACCATCCGTTTACCTCATCCCTTAACATTTACGTGCTTTTAAAATATGTTTTTAATATCTTAGGTGCACAGGGCCAAACTCCCTTCTCGGTTTTCACATGCATGAGTAAATCCACACAGTGTAAACCCCTTGGGCCTTACGTTCTGCTTAGAAGTTCTTTTCTTTTTTTTTTTTTTTAAGAAAATAAATATTCCATTAAAACGACAGAGTGTACTCTGCATATTTTTAGGACAATTAGAGTTCAGAATTCCCTCTTCTTCCGCCCATGGTAAGAAAAAGTTTTTCTTAACTATTTCCTTACCACAAATGACCTTAAACTGAGATAAATTAAAGGCCTTTCTTATCGTTTTCAAATAATCTTCTTACCTTATATTGTCAAACTATCAACCAGCAATCCTTGTCTTCATTCAGGAAGGATCTGGCTACCCTTTTCCGTTGCCAGGAAAATCTTGTAAATAGACAATTATTTAAGAGCCTAAGGGGGGGGGGGGAAGGGTGGGGTGGGGGGGGAAGGGAGGAGAAATGACCCAAACATTGTATGCACATATGAATAAAAGCAAAAAAATAAAAAGAGCCTACAGAAACCTGTACTCACAGGAAGCAGAGAAACAAACAAACAAAAAAAAAGGTAAGGGTATTTTCTACCACCTGCTTGATTTTAAAATGGTCACAGGTTTTAGTAATTTTTCTTTAACATTTCTCACCTGTTTAAAAAAAAAAAAACCAAATCATAAAGAAGAGACTACACAGGCTGGACAAGCAATACAGCAAGGCCAAAAGGGAAAGACCTAGAAATGAGTGTTAGTAGGGATGGAATGGGAGAGGGAGACACACCCCAATTTATGGGCTCCTGGACTCGTTGTGTTCGTAAGTTTGTACTACGATGCACACAGCAACACCCTGCCCATTAGTCTGGGCTGCTAGGGCCACACATGTGGATAACTTTTGCCAAGCCAGCATGCAAATCAAATGTTTTCTTGCAACCAAATTTGGAGCAACATCTTAGCAGCACTTGCCAAGTCACTCCACAGTCAAGTCCAAAGGCTCCACAGAGCTGATGTAGGACCATCCTCAGCTTGTTTCCCATTCATTGCAAAGTAGATCAAGCTACATGATAGAATAGAAAAACCAGCCCATTCACCCCACAGTTCAGACAGAGTAAAAAGGATAGATAGGCCTTCTGGAGACTCTGATACAGACGATGAGGAAAAGATGGCTTGGAGAATATGATATGCTATCTTAGAAACTAGCGATTTTATTGCAGAATCAAAGAAAGAACTCTTGACTTCCTAGGGAAAATGTGTTTATTTATTTAAATTAAAAAATATTGTGAAAATTACAAACCATTAAATACAAAAGACAATTTTATACAACTCAATAGAATAAGAAAGAAGTATATACATCACTTTTTAATAGGCGCAGATAGACTTGCACCGAACTTCAGGATTAAGCAATGGAAAATGTGACAATGCACATGTCCGTCGCAGTAAAGTTTCAGAATTCAAGTGATTCCAGGCAAGAGGCCAAACTTAACTTGGCTTCTTTCAACTTAAAGGGCCCCCTTTGGAGTAAATCCACAGTCTGAATTTTAAAGTGAACAGAGGGCCCTTCTTTCCCTCCTCCCCCCCCACCACAAACATAAATTTCCTTTAGCTCTGTGTCAAAGCCTGCTGATAAACCAGCTCCTGCACCGTTAACCCTTCCATGGGAACAGTGTCTCAGATACAGGGAAAGTATGTTTTTTAAAAAGGGGAGGGCATTACTAGAATTAAACTTGACCTTTTGGGTTATTCTGCTTCTATCTTGTCTTCAAGGGCTGAAAGGGTCTGCTACAAAGCCATGGACCACAGGAATAAGTGGAGGTGTTAGCAAGCATTCCTGAGCATCTTCTTTTAAACTTTTTCCCTTCGCTGGGAGTGTTATCCCACTAGCCAGAGAACTTTGCAGAGGAAAATGTGGTATCTGCCTCTTTGGTTCGATCCTGGGAAAACTACAGCATGGATGGTTGTTGCTTAGCACTGAATTCCCCAGTTAAATGTACTGAGAGTCTCCAACTGCTCCTTTAAATCAGCAGATCCCTTTCTAGACTAACTGGCCAAAGGGGAAATATTTGGTCCAAGCTTCCTCACACCAGGCCATGGAGGATTTATCACACAGTCTTAAATCTAAAGACATCCTCCCAGCCCCCTGGGGCTGCACATCCTCGGGAGCCTCATGAAAGCAATGAGCCTCTTGATGACAAGCCCAGGACCACACAGCATTTGAGTGTCAGGCTCGAATTCAGGAAGCTTGGACCCCAGCTTGGCAATCCCTGTCTGAGCATGCCCTACTAGGTCTCAGCTACGTGATGAAGTAGCACATGAAAGCCCACACTGTGTCGTCTCCCAGCTCAAAAAACTAGACTGGGAAAAGAACAGCTTGGCCTTGTTCAAACCCACCATTTCCCTTTCTGGAAAGATCGGGGGACCCCCTGCACAGCCATTCAGAATTCAGGGTAAATCTGGGAAAGATCTCTGACCAAAAGAAAGTCGTGCTGGTGTATGATGCCTGACAGTCACAAGCCAGAGAGTTCAAGCTCACAGGTGAGACAAAAAATCAATATAGTCAATCGTCTCTTATAACCCCAACTACTGCTAACAGATTTAAGAGTTGCTTTCTTTCCTTACATTTCACAGACAAGCTGGCATCAAAATTCCAGCTTTCTCCCATCAAAAACCCTCCATCAAATTTTCCCCCTCTAATCCAAAAGGCTCTTGTAAAGGCTCTGTGACCTAATGCCACAGGTACAGGGTGGAAATACTTACAGCCAGTCAGATCTAAAAAAACAAAGCTCTAGGCAAATTAGCAACTCAAAACTAGTCCCTCAGCCTTCCCAAGGGCTGGGAACAAGCAGATGCTGTAGAAGTTACCAGGTCATCCAGTGAGAAAATTGACAAGTACATCATCCAGCCAAATACTGAACAGGGACCCCCAACACCCAGGCTCCAAAGTACACACTGCACTTCGGGGCTTTCTCAGTGGCAGGTCCAAACCACAGGCACCTTGAGGACTCTGGCTGAGCTGTGTTCCCCCATGTCTCTCATTTCAGAGGCTTGCCCAGGGTCTTTTCAAAGTGGCATCTGCACTTTTAAAGTGAAAGCAGACACTTGGAAAACGTCTTTTCTCTCTCTAAGGGTGCTGGCTGATGGATCCACCTTCAGAGGCCTGGGGGTGCTAGGAATTCTGGTGGATGTTCTCTGAGGACCCTTCACTGCTTTCATTGAGAGGTGTCTCCGAAGTCTCCTCCAGCTCGTCATCTGCACCCTCCTCTTGGATGGTGAGGTGCACGTCCGGGGAGGAAGACTCGGAGCTCACGCTGTCCCCCTCCATGGAGCAGAGGGTGCAGGACAGCACAGGCCCCACACTCTCCTGCAACACATTCAGCATCATGGGCACCTGCATGGACCTCAAGCCTGACACAACAGGCAGTGGCTTCATGGCTTCCCCCCACAGCCTCTCCTCATCTTTGTACAGCAGCAGGAGGCTGGACTTCTTCTCCCGCCTCTTGGATTTCATGTAGCCCAGCATGATTCCAATCAAGAAAATGCCGTAGAAGGACATGACCACCAGAATGTAGAAGTATTCATTGCCATTGCCACTGCCGTTGCTGGGCACATGGGACTCAAGGGGACTGCTGGAGGCTGCGGTGCTGGGGTGTGTGCTGTTCAGAGGCTCCATCCTCAGCATTGAAGCACTGCTCACACAGCTGGGGTCTGGGGAGAAAGGTGCAGGTTAGAGCTCTCGCACAGCCCACGACACAGGCAGGAGGGCAAGCACTAGACTTGTGGAGCCAATATCAAAAAAAGGTTAAAAATGCACAAAAGAAATAACAGTAAGCAGAGCCACCAAACAGTTAACAGTGATTAGCTATGAGCTTGGATGTCATGGGGGAGAAGTCAGAAAGAAGGAAAAAAAGTAAGGAGAAGTTTTCAGTTTTCAATGTACACATATTTCATAGTGTGAAATTTGCATTTCATAAATAAGCATGTATTACTTTTATACTTAAAAATTCAATATAAGACTGGGAAGCAGGGAGAAGACAAATGATATCTTAAAAATTGACAGGCACACTTTAATTGATGGAGCAGAAACAAAACTTACATTGCTTTTAAAACTTACATACTCTTTATTCAAAGCAAAGTTCTTCTTAGAACCAAGAAAAGAAGCAGGAAGAAAAAAAAAGCTTCATCTATTAGTAGCTACAAATATTACTCTTTCAAATGTTGCTGAAACAAAGTAGCTTCGTTAACTTACCAAAGGCTGACAATTTGTCGCAAATGGTCAAGTTTCTTAATGGTCAAGTCCAAAAGTGTTCTCCTGTGCCTGCTCCGCACTCTGACAGCTTTGCTGCTGTGGTTGGAATATATAGTCAAGTAATGCATCGTCACGTGTTCTGGGAGGAAAATTTACAACAGAGGTTGACCGTGGCAGAGTGAGCAGTGAACTCAAAGCACTGCAGTGCAACTCCCAAACTTTGCAGCTGTGAAAAGAAAAAGACTGGGAAGCAGGAGCTGCTCTTCATGCACCAGAAACGAGCCAAAGTTTTCAACTGGCCGTGAACATGAGCAGAAAGAGGAGAAAAGAAAGTGCTAAGTTTCAACCCTTACCCCACAGTCTACCCTCCTTGAAAATTAGCTCATGCTGCATTTCCCTCTGGGGGAACAACCATTACGTCACCTATAGGTCTTCAGTGGCAATCAAAGCTCATAATCTAAATCAAAGACAGTTGGGAACAAGTACAGGATTCACAGTCAAGACCCAGGGCTAAAGTAGCAGTTGCAAATACTTCCCACACCTCAGATTCCTGATCAGTAAAATCGTTGGGTGGGGGCAGGGCAGGGGGGTTCTACAGGTAGAAGTATATGAATTATGTGAGTTTTTAAGTTTTTTTACAGCTTAATACTCTTAGATTTAAGGCTGACCGGCACAGGTTAGCCCCTTAAAAGAGGTTCTACCTATCCTCCACACCAAGCTCATAAGTCTTCTCTTTATAATCACTATTTTTTAAAGTTTCCAGATTCTTTCCAATGGTTTGTGTGAAGTGGAAACACTTCACTTTACGGTAAAAGACACTTTGAGTACATTTTGCCCATTCTACCATGCACAGACAGGGATATTCACACATCTCTGTGCTGTCTTGGGCAGGTTACCTGAGGGGCAAGCATTCTTCCAGGGAGCCACGGAGCATAGATCAAGTTCTGAACACCTAGGTGGGCTCTGTGTTAACATGGCTGCTGTGATCAAAGTTGGAGGAGGAGTTGAGGACTTTAATGCCAGGCCCCTCTGCTCCCTGAGATGTTAATTCTAAGAGGCTGTCATTCCAAGATGAAGTAAACTAGAAGGGATCCTCGCCTCTAGCTGTCTGTGGCTATGAATCATAGCCAGACGATCTTGCAGGCCAACTCTAAAAGAAACATCACTTCTGATCCTGCTGTTGTTAAATTAAAGCTTGAGAATGCCCCTTTTGACTCATCTGGAACATGTACAGGCAGGCATTGGAACTTTCCTTGGGAGTCTGGATTTATGCCTGATGCTAATTCTAACAGGACACCTCAGCTGTGGAAAGAGTGGAACAATGAGCCTATGCTCCTGCTGAGGAGCTGGCACTGAGGTCTCTACTGCCACCAATCCCAGCATCAAGACTACCCCTACCACGGAACTTCACTCACACAGTAAAGATGCTTTCCCAATTGCGTTAATCCCGCAAAAGCTGCACAATTACCTTCGCCATGTTAGGCTAGGCCTTTTCTACCTGTTTCCATCATAAGCACTGACTGACTATCTAATCTAAATTTGGAGCACTGGAACAAAAGAGACCCATGAGAAACATACCTGATGAACTCTGGTCAGTATTGCTGACCATGTACCTTAGTATATATGAGATTAGTAATCACCAAGAGGTTTTCAAGCATGTGAACTGTAAATTTTGAGGAGGCACAAAGGAGGTGGGGAAAAGAGTTAACAGTTTTAAGGAACAGGAGATAGGTAGGTGGTACCAGGAAGACAAACAAAGGAATCCCAAGGCCCTAAAACCAAGAAAAAACACAGGTGCTGGGACAAATCTAGAATGAAATCTAAAGGACAAAGCAAGTCAAAGATGTAGGAATTGTCACAGGAACCAGGAAGGGAACAGCTCAATGAAATTCCCCTGGGTGCCTGCTTGGTGTCTCTGCCACCTCTGGTGTCCCCTGGCTCCCCACATGGATGTTTCTACCACAGTTCAAGGAAGCAATGCAAGTAAAGCGCATAGCATCCCTACCAGAAGACACATGTACAACTCACACATTTTGCTGTCATTTCTGAGAGTTCCACATTGCTACCAAGGGCTTCTGGTTGCTTCCTGATGTGCAAGTAGATCTCCCCAGACTTTTCATTGCTGTTCTTTCCCTTCTGTCCCCATGCTGTACCCCAGGAATGGAACTTAACATTCAGGGTGCACAAGCTCCTAAAATGTAGCCTTCTCTCCAGCCCTCACTCAGGAGTGTGGTAAGAACTGTGGTGGTAAACAGTGAGCCAGGAGAGCACCGGGGAAGTACATTTGTCAGGGAGGGGAGGGCATTCTCACCAGTAATTACATCCACACCATGTCACAGCTTAGGGGACAGCTATGATAAAGGGATGATCCATCCTGCAAGTACTTTCTCCCACTCTGTGGCTTACAGTTCCATTTTCTTAAGTGTCTTTTGAAAAGCAAACATGTCTTAGTACTGGAGTCCAGCATATAAAATTCTCCATCATCATGCTTTATGAATCCTTCCTGAAAAATGTTTGCTTAACCCGTGAAGACTTTTTCTTACTTTTCTCCATTAATAGTTTTGTAGTTGTTTTAGACATTAGGCCTATAATTCATTTCAAGCTAAATTTATTGTATGATTAAAGAGTGGGTCAAGTTTCTTTTCTTTCTTTTTCTTAACATATGGAAACCCAATTACTCTAGCACTATATGTTGAAAAGCCTATTTTTCCCTGTTGGCACTCGGAACTTTTGTCAAAAATCATTTAACCATATACATGCAGGTTTATTTCAGAATTTTTTATTCTGTGCCTTTGATCTATTTGCCTATCTTTGCATCATTAATACACTGTTTTGATAAACTTATTTTAAACTGGCCTTTTAAATAAGCCTGAAATATCCCACAGCAATACCTAGCTAAGTCTCTATTGCATGCCGGATTCACATCAATCCTGCAAGGTAAATATTATGACAAGCATTTCATTGATAAGGAAACCAAAGACCAGAAGATGGAGCAAGCTACTCAAAGACATGCCATTAGTGGTAGAGACAGGATTTTAACCCAGGACTATGCAACTCCAAAACCCACTTATTTCTACTACCCTTTGTCTCACTGAATGAGAATGAAGAACTGAGAAGGAGTAGAAAGAGAAAGACTGATGTTTTTCTAATTTCCTTTGGGTCTTTATAAACCTTTTATTTTAAAAACATAAATTTGTGCACAGGCAAATACCCAAACATAAATGTGGACCTGCCTTACAAACTGTTCCTTCTGAATTCATGCTGTTTTCAGTATTGGAGGCTGCATCCCCCTCAGCATGTTCTAGAACTGTCAGTGGAGCGATAATACTGTGACCCTTTATCCCTGTGGCCCCAATTCAGCAGTGTCCCTTTTGCTTGTATACACAGCTCGACTTGTTTTTATGTGTCGTTTCCCCTTCCTCTCACCGCCCCTCCCTTGAGCCTGACCTACACTTTCTCTGGAGCTTTGAGTACTTCCATTTCCTGGTAACGTCATTGTCACCAAATGACCCAGGAGTCCCTGGCCACACATATCTCAAATTATGTTAACAGCTCCTGTGACTAAACAAAGTCCGTGCTGGGATAGCAGCACAACCAAGAATCTCATCAGATTAAACGTAAGTCTGGAGTCCAGAGAGCTGACCCAGCTCAGCACACCCAGGCTACGTGACTGACTCCATTGCATAATTACTCTGTTTTTCAATTTTAGCCACCCGCAGGCATGACAAAAGCACAATCACTAATTGTGTCAAGATCCTCAGAAATGTCCCATAATCCAACAGGCCATCTCTCCCTCCCAAGAAGATCAGGTCTCAGAGAGCATTTCAAAACTTATTTGCCTACATTGGTCTTGCTTTTTTCCCAGAAACCCTGTCTGAAAAGTTGTGTCTGGGAACTCTTGGAATGGGTCATCCCTTCTGTTGTCCTGTGTCACCCTCCCTGGAGGGTACACTCAGCACTGAGACAGGGCTAGGTATCGTATAGGTACTAATAAGACTTCCAGACCCTCTCTATAATGGCAGCTTTGCCTCAGGAGCACGTGACTGACCAGGTCCTGCTTGGACAATATTCATAGAGGGTAGGAGGGAAGACCCCAGAACTTCCAAAACTGAAAAGCAAGGTTGCTATTAATTCACATTTATTGTTTATTATACAAGCATTTTTCACCTGATATTTATCTAACAAATACTTGCAATGGTGCCTAAAATTTCTCAGGAATTGCTGTAAGCACTTGACAAATTTTTTTCCTGTTTAATCCTCATTAAAACCCTGTGAGATAGACTGTATCATCATCCTCGTGTACAGACAGGAAACTGAAGCCAGGGTGGTTGGGGCTGCCAACTAGAACATAGCAGGGCTGGCACTGGAACCCAAAGAAGAGAGAAAGGAAAGGAAAGAAAAACATTGTCTATGCCTTCCCTCCATGAACCTTATAGATGGTAAGAGCACAGACAAGAATCCAAAAATTCTATGCATAATTAGAAAAGAGATAAAGAAGAGTAGGAAAACCAATATGAAGAGATGTCAACTCTTTAGAGAAATTAGGAAGGACTTCCTTGAAGAAACCATTGTTGAGTTGGGCTCTGTACACTGAGTAGGAGTTAACCAGTTAGAGTGAGAAGGTAGGAGAATTTTGACAAAAAAAAAAAATTTCCTTGATTAAGAAAGTAGAGAGGGAAGAGAAAAGACAAGAATGAGGAACTAAAAAGTCCCTGGGGAATCATCTCAGGTAGCAACAGGGAGGCAAAGAGATGGCACTGGAGAGATGGGCATGGGCCAGGTGTGTGCCACCCATGACACAGGAGGATAGGAGAGCAAAGGAAGAAGGACGCAGATCTTTGCTTTGAGGAACTCAAGTATCAACTAAAGAGAGAGCACCAAGGCCTGGGCAAGTGTGGGATGGTTTAGGATTACCAAAGATACAATTACTGAGGGCATGCTAAGTACAGACTAAGGGCACGATAATGCCACTCACAACTGGACAGGCCTGGAGGAGCCAAGGGACCTGGTGTGAACAGTTGACTGGCATTATGAGGATGGTTGTGAAATAACCCCTGGAACGTGGA